TTTCTCAAACTGTTGTTAAGTTGGTCAGAAAAATGCCAGAACTGGATTAAGACAGACAGACAGACAGACACACACACACACACACACACACACAATCAGTGGGACATCTCTAGAGACAAGGCTTCCCTTAAGGTGTCCCTGGATTTCATTTCCTCCAAAGAGAAAGAACAGGTTAAGAGCTGAGCCATTCCAAGGCTGAGGAATTAGACTCACTGAGAGGGACTTGGTGAGCCTTGTATATGTCCGTCTTGATCAGATTTCTTCCCTGCCCAGTTAAAAATGCAATGAAAAGACCCTAAATTCCAGTGGCGCTTTGAGAGCTTTGAAGGTGTAGTGAGAATGCTTCTAGCACTAGCAGAGATTGATGGGAACAAGAAAAAGGCAGTCTTCAGCTCTTCATTGCCTTTGTCTGTACCCTGCATGTCTTGTAACAGCTCCCTAATTGTTCTCTCCCTAAGCTGCACAGACCTCTCAGTTTTCAGTCTGACAAAATTTAGTGAGCCCCTGCAGTGCGTCAGACACTGGTGACAGAGCAGTGAGCGAGATTCATGGAGTCCTTGTCTTCATGGAGTTTTATAGTGAAAGGGAAAAAGATATTAAGCAATTTTGGCAAAGTGTAATTATTAAAGCAGAAATGTCAAAGCGAAAGCGCAGGAAAATATTTCCAGCAGGAGAAATCATGTGTACGAAGGCTCAGAACTTGGACATGGTGTAGAGAATAAGGTGGAAAGTGGTGTGAGAGGTTGTTAGAAGTGTAACCGTGTGGGGCCTTCCAGCTCTGCTCTGTGCCTTCAGCAGCCATCAGCCACATATAGTTACGGAGCACTTGAAATGTGCTTAGTTCCAACTGAGATATGCTGTAGACATTTAATTCATACTGGATTTTGAAGTGTAGTGCAGAAAAAGATAATATCTCATTAACAATTTTATATTGATTATATGTTGAAACGATAAACTTTGTGGACGTATCGGGTCAAATAAAAATACGAAAATTAATTAAAATTTTTTCTGATGTGGCTACTAGAAAGTCTCAAATTACGTACGTGGCTCACATTATATTGCTATTGGTCAGCACTGTTCTGGACCATGTTAAGAAACCTGGACTTGATCCTAAGAGCATTGGGAAGGTTGTGAAATGTCTTAAATGAGGAGGTGACATGGTCAGGTTTGCATTTTCAAAAGACTGGTTGAGGGGGCTGGATGGTGGGAGACAAGATGAGACCCATTAGGGATAGCTGTGGTTGTTCAAGTGAGAGAGGGTGGTAGCCATGAGGACAGAGAAGACTTCCAAACAGTGAGATGACTAACACCAAACAGCTCTCATTCCGGTGAAACATGAACATGATAGGTTGCACCCAGATAAAATTTCCATCTTAGTCCATCAAAAATGGTTGAATAGTGAGAGAACTAACAAGGGTCAAAGTTGGAACATAAAGAATGACATAAATATCCCTAATTCCCACAGTGACATAAATAAATGAATACATAAATGAGGGGGGAAGCAACAACTCTTTTCCCCAGAATTCCAATTAATAATGAAGAAAATATGAAATCGCTATTAGCATATCACAGTAATAACTGCCGCATGCAAGATCTATGTAAGCATAGTGAGTGGGCAAAAGTTTAAGCAGAAACAGGTTATCCATCTTAAATTATATCTCCCCAAATAGTTAATAATTATAAGGAGAAAAATAATTTACATCGGAAAATTCTAGCAGACATCACTAAGCTAAGTGATCAAGCTTAGCATCACCAGTAATACAGACATCATGTATTTCCTATGATGCAGCGAAGACATTATCACTCTGTGGTATCTTCCCAATTAACACATAACCTCATCTAGTCATGAAAAAACATCAGACAAACCCAAAGTGAGGGTCATTCTACAAAATAACCAAGAAGGACTATTCAAAGAGATGAGAGAAGACAAAATGAGTGAGCATAGATTGGAAAAAATTGGAAATGACAAGTAAATGTTTGAGATCCTGGATTAGGTTCTCTGATAGAGAAAAAAAAAAAAAAAGACACTGGTAGAAACACTAGTGAAACCCAAACAGGTTCTAAACTTTAGTAAGTATTGTAGCAAGGTTAATGTCTTACTTTTGGGCTCCTGGGTGGCTCAGCTGAGCATCCGACTCTTGATTTTGGCTCGGGTCATGATCTCACGGTTTGTGAGTTCAAAGCCCCACGTGGGGCTCTGCGCTGACAGGCACGGAGTCTGCTTGGGATTGTTCCCGCTCTCTCGGCCCCTCCCCTGCTTGTTCGCTTGCGCTCTCAAAATAAACATACCTTAAGCAAATTTTAATTTCTTGGTTTTGATAAATGTTCTATGGCTATGTTACCAGCAGAAGCTGGATGAAAGGTAAATGGGAACTCTATTTTTGCAACTCTAAGTCTAAAATTATCTAAAAAGAATGAACTATTAAAATAGCTTGAATATCAGTAATTTCATACAGTCCAACTTATACAGAAGTCAGACAAGAAGCAGCCAAAACTGCTAAAGCTACACTAATACCGTAATTATCATAACATGCTGCAAATGTTCTTGTCTGGGGGCAACTTTTGCACCAACATCAGTTTGCGTGAACATTCAACTCAAATTCATTACTCTGTTCCAATGATTTGATTTACAAAATTTTGAAGTTCAAGTCTGATGCCAGCTAGGACTGGGAAGAACACAGCCACGGGTGGCACATTTCCACTGGCCATGTCATCACAAGGGTGTGGGCACTAGGGCAGCTACCTTCCTCTACTCCCACTTCTGGAGACCTACCATCATGAGGAAACCATTAGGATGGTCCAGGTCCCAGCACTGAGACCTGGTATTGCAGAACAATACCCTCCCCAGCGGCTGTGCTGTACTTACACGGTGTTATAAGTTTCCAAGAAATAAGTCGTAACAGGTGCACAGATGACCCGAGATGCTGGTCTTATAACTGGTGCCAAGTGAGCACATTGCCCCTTACCATGCGTGTTCAACAGTGAGCCAGACTTTAGGTCAATGGCTAAGTTGGATACTGTGGACAATGTTCTCTCATGACAAGGGGATTTCAGAGCCAACTAAAATAGCAACCTCCAAAATTATACTCAATACACCCAACTAGCATTTACAGCTCCTAATTCCACTGACAAGTGACTAGCAAGTGTTTCTCCTGCCAGGTGTATTACCTTTCATGCAGCTTAAGTATCAGCATGTTTATTGCATTTAAGGTTTCACTTAATGGCCTAAGCTAATCTAACTTCCAGAGGTAATTTACTCTCCATTTAACAGGTCAGGATTCTTTTCATTTGCCACAGCAGTCTTATTGCTTGTAATCATTCATCGTGGTATGCCCCTTAATTTAATGCTACTTAAGGTTTTGCTGAGAGCCAGAGCTATATCTCAATCCCAAATCATCAAAATGTACAAGAATGTTTCAAGATTAAAATGTGTTGGTTTCTTGAATTGGGCAGGCTTGTAAGTTATCTCAGTGAATATATGGATACCAGTCCTCACTTTGTATACTAATTTGATTCACAGTAGAGATACACCCCTGCAGTTCTAAATTTGAATGAAGCTCTTAGAAAAATGCAGACACTAAGTCTTTGGATACACTCATAAGTGATCAATGTCATGTTTAGAGTGAGAACGGTTTTCAACAAATGCCATCAACCAAGTAAATATACCAAAGGAAATTTTTATTGTAAACAAGATATAAAGTACAACAAAAGAAATATTGTGCAAATTGTAAATCACAAAGTTTTTTTATTATTAAAAGAAAATTCCTGTTTTCCAAGGGTCCAAGTTTTGATGTCAGAAATCAATACCCAATAGAGAAAAATGTTAAATGGAAAGATATAGTGCCATTTTTCACTGTAGATTTTAAACAATTTACTTTTGTTTTACCACTGTATGTATCATCCACTATATAACAGAATATAACAGAAATACTGTTAACAAAAGTGAATGTTTTAACAACTTCTATTCACCTAATTCCACTTCCCCCCCAAAAAAAAAACTCCTATAAATTAACAGGACAACACTTGCCCATGTGAATAATGGTCACTAACTTTCTAATTCAATAAAGCACACATTATATCCTCATAATATAAGGGTACTTTACTGATGACATAAGTCATCTTTTTCAAGGAGTTATCTAAAATTCTTGGTATCCCTTCTTTACAATATATATTTTTATCTTCCATTTTTTTTTCTAAACAAAGTGCAATGTATCTTAGAGTCTACAGAAAACACATTGGTATACAATTTTCAAATCTACACAAGAAACTGCAGGCAAACTAAAGCTCAAAGCATAATAAAATGCCTAGATATAGTCATCTGTTGAACTTTCAAAACAAAAATGCAAAAAAATTATAGCTATACTTCAAAGCAATTAAATTACTGAGGATTCCAAATCTTTGGGCCCTCTTTAGCAATATACAAGCTGCTTAATTCCAAATGGTAGCAAGTATAAAAATGCTAGTTCTAGATCATATTTAACAACTACATCCACGAAATTGACTGGAAAGACTAGGAATAGTAAACAAGGTAACTAGGAAAAGATGCCAAAGTTTGTAATACAAATCAATTTTCCATCTCCATCTCCGTACCATAATGTTTATTTCCAGTCTCTATTCTTGAAACCAGTGCTTTAGAAGAATCACATTGAAAAGTTGGTCTCAAGTACAAACGGTGAAAACGAAGTAATAAATTGTGCACACAAATTCAAAATCTGTGCTACCTGTGTTGACCTCATCTGAAACCTTCAAAAAATATTTAAAGGAATAAAAGCTTTCTCATCTCTCTTATGTGATAAGAAATGAATCCTGCCACTCTGTGACCTGCTTGTGGCTGCAGCACTTCTTGTCCTCCAGCCCAGGGCTGAGGCTTCTCCTCAGGCTGTGGGGCTTCTGCGTTCCGCCGCACCGGAGGGCCACAGACTTGCAGTGGAAGCATTTTTACATCACCGCTGGCTCCTGGCTGTGACCAAAGTTACTTCGGATTCTCACCTTCTGAGCGGTCACTGCGTGGGGGCAGGGGTTGGAGGTAAGGCCATGTCATTTAGCTTGCTCACTTCCATCTGCCAGTTTGGTAGCTTCTTGGCGGACAGATGGCGCCGGGCATGCTTGGTCAAATGGTCGCTCCTCATGAACCGTCGGTCACACATGGGACAAGCAAATTTCTTCTCACCTGTGTGGGTTCGCCGGTGTCTGGACAGTTCATCGGAACGGGCAAACCTCCTTTCACAACCTTTCCAGCTACAGCTAAAAGGCTTTTCTCCTGAGACAAAGAAATTCAGATCATCGTCACTATGCATTCATCAAGTCACTATAAATTGCAGATCTAATTATATCCAAAGACATACATTTTAAAATATCTTAAGAGATGCTCTTTAAAATAAAAGCTACTAAATGAATCAACTGTTAACTGAATGCTACATAGATTTCCAACTTTCACTCAATCACATTTATAGGAATCTTCCCTTTATAAATGCCAAACACAAAAAGGTTTTCTGACTTCAACTATGGTACAACGGCTTTAGAGATACTTTATTAAAGTAACTACTCAGACACATAAAGAATCATCGTTTGAGAAATTAAAACAAACACCTTGATGAAATCTTTGAGAAACCTGTAAATATCCCCCACTGAACTGGCTAATAAGGCCAAGTTCTTCTTTAACATGCCTGGCTTGTACCTGTGATCATGGCCAAAAAACATTCAACTAAATCTCAAAGACACGAATAAGAAATGGTTGCTACCTGTGTGTGTTCTCATGTGGGCCTTCAGATGAGAGCTCTTGAAGTACGTCTTGCCACATCCTGGGTGGCTACAGATGTGACTTCGTATCCTGGATGAGTCAATCTGAGGAGTGACTTTTGCTGTGGAAGGGGAAAACCCTGGAGCAGGGGCAATGGGAGAGAGTCTGGTGCCATTTGGGCTCACCACCGGAGGCTTTGGGTTCTGAACAACAGGCTGGGGAACAACAAACATGACAGCGCCTTTGGGCACCTGAGTGCCCATGAACACGACAGGTGGGCACACAGCTGGTGGCTGACTGGGTGGAGTGCTAGGAACAACTGTTGTCACAACAGGGTTGTTTGCAGGGAGGGGAACCATCTGACAGATGACCGGCATAGGTGGCACTCCCCCTGTTGACACTGCAGGTGGGGAGACCAGCACCGACTTCTGCTGTGGGGACACAGGGGCGGGCTGAGGTCTACAGATGACTGTCTCTGAGGAAGGCACAGAAAAGTCATAAAGTGCAGGACTTGCTTTCTCATTAACATCTGCCGCCGTGTTTCTCTCACGTTTGGATCTGTTTGGTGACACAGCTGCACAGGGTATGTTTTTTCTTGCAGCCTCAACGTTCAGGTGGGTTCTTCTTCGAAAAGAATTGTCCTGATAGTTGAGGATGCTGGCTGCTTTCACTGGGCAAGATCTGTGGTTACACAGCTGGGCATCAGCTGTATGACGGATCACACTTGTTGCCTGAGCCTTGGGGAGTTTGGGGGCAGGTGCGGGGCTCTTCTCTTCCTCTTTGAAAGGTGCAGCAATGTGAGGCTTGGCAGGATCTGAGAATGATTTGAAGTGTCCGGTAGATGGCGCTGATGCCATCAAATTTGACACTTGAGAGGGTTCAAAGTCAGAAGGGCTGTAAGGTGGAGTCAAACACTAGAAAAGAAATACACAGAAATCGGCATGAGAAATTAAGTTCGTTACGTAAATTATAAAAAATTAGACCATCTGCAGTCTCATATTAAAAACAAAACTTACAAATGCTGGGATCGTATGAAAGTCAGGTGTACTCGGGAGTAGATTCTCTTCCTCCGACATATCGGATACTGGAGTAACAGGTCTGTTTTCAGTGTATTTCTTAAAATCAGACTTCCAACTGCAGCTCATTGACATAAGTGCTTCTACAGCTTCAAAATCACTCTTTTCTGCGGTTTTGTTCCAGGAATACACACTCTCTTTCGATCTTTCAGAAATCATTTCCATCCTTTCTTCCTATAAGAACAAAAGATCAAATGCTTATAACCATATTTTTGTCCTCCAAATAACACGCAAAGCAACGTACAATTTTTCCTTTACAATTGCACAAATTTCCAAGTTTGCGAAATAATTTTTTCTCTCACCCCTACTCAAAATAAAATTTTCCTCATTCTTTCTCTAATACTTAGGGTTGAACACAGATATCCCTGCAAGGTAGAAGAGAAGCATATTACCATTAAGGAGACCAAGGCCAAAGATAACAATGCATGTATGATCCAACAATGCATGTATGAACTTGATTTAGAAAAATTATATTCTTCCCAGAACAGCCATCTGCAAATGAGATCAAATGAAATAACTAAGGGAAGGTTATGCAAAAGTTTTTTCAATACTGCAGGTGAGGTATGAGGACTTTTGAGGTACCAGTTCCCCACAACTGGTAGTGGGGAAAAAGCAAAGTGTAGTGGACAGAACTCAGGTCTGTCGATATGGGTCTGATCTTTTGAAAGTCACTTGGCACGTTAAGATAAAATCAACAGAATAGAAATCTTCAGTGCCTTTTTAAAATTACTACATTAGGTTATTTTAAAGGTAAAATACCTTTCATAGCTTGATTATCTATGGTAGAGAGGAATAAAGTGAAATATGTAGAAAAATCCCAAAGCCATATTTAGGCTCCAAGTTCTTCATATTTGTGTTCCCTTTCACTAGATTTAAACAATGGCTTGCCATGCATAGCTATGACCAGCTAATGCGATACTAAAAAATGGACAATCAAAATGTAATCTTCCACCCAGAATTTGTAAAAACTGCCTGGTGAGTCTGCGATAGTCCAAACATTTTTTAAATTTTTTAAAATAACTGCCAGATGACAAGAATGATAGTGCATGCTTGCCATTTGTACAGCTCCCTCTATCAAGTGTTTAATGTTTCATATTAAAGTTCCTTAAACAGCACTTAAAAAAAAATGGCACTACCCACCAGCTTCCATTTTCCATTAATGTGATGCCATTCTTTTGAAGTAGAAATTGTGTAAAAATACCGAAAAGCATTCTTTACAAAGTACTACTCTCGACGCTAGTTTTAAAAAATACATAAACCCTTCGTGTTGATAACCTTAGAAAAGGAGCCACTGCTCTGGAGATTTCACCAACAACGCTATTGCATAATCGCGCGCCCCTTTATGTAAGCTGCAATGGACAGCGCACGTATGTCTAAAAGCCTCAAGACGCCAAAGCAAAGAAAAAGGAAAAAAGGCAGGCAAGCAAGGAAGGGGAGCGTGAGCTGGGAAGGGCAGGAAGAGAAGCGGGGAGGGGAGGAAAGGGAGTGGGGCGCAAGGCAGGAAAGGGAAGAGCGGGTGGAGGCGCGGGCGGGGGAGGCAGACGAAGGGCGGGGGCGGACGGCGGGGAGATCCTCAGCAGCGGGGATGAACGGATGGGGCCGCCCTAACCTCAATGAGGCTCGAGGGTGAGTCACTGGGAACATTCCTCGCCGCTCGCACGTCCCCGCGCCCCTGCCCCCGCCATTGGCCAGCCTGCCCGGCGGCCCAGGCCGGATGGCGACCGCGAAGAGACGAGGCGCGGGGAGGTGAGGGGCGAACGTAATGAAGAACAAAGCGTGATCTGCGGCTGCAACGGGCGGCACCAGGAAACGTGAACTGGGAATTGCCGCGCCGTCACCTTTCACCTACTTCCTGACCCGCGGGCCCCCGCCCACTCGCGCCAGCCCAGGAGAACCGCAGGCGCCGCCGCCAACCGCCCGGCAGTGCCAGCCCGCGGGAGGGGCAGGGCCGCGGGCGCCGGCTCTCCGGGAACGCCCTCCCCTCGGAGAGCCGTTCCCTGGGAACCGACAGCAGAACTGGGCCTCTCACCTCTGCCGCCCCTGGCGGAGGGCAGGGCCTGGGTCACTCGGGGACAGGAGGCTCCCTGGGCACCGCTCGGCCCACCCCGGCCCTCCGCCTCAGCTGCCGGAGGAGCCGTGTCCCCACCGAGCCAGCCTCCCTCCTCCCGGGCGCGGCCAGGATCCGGCCGAGCCCTCGGCGCTTCCCGCCGCCCACAGGACCTCAGACCACCCCGTCTTTCCACCCAGACGCAGCGCCCCTCCCGCGGTTTCCGGCAGCTCCGGCCTCCGCCCGCCGAGTCTCCACAGGTTCCCAGACGTGCAGCCCCCACGGGCTCCGGCTCCGGAACCGCAGCCCGCGGCTCCGCCTCGACACGCCGCGTCTCGCGGCTGACTCCCCCGCCCGCATCCCCGCCCCACGGTGAACTCCCGCTCACCCTCGCGTCAGGCGGCTCCCTACCCCCTTCCAGGGGGCCCTCAATAGGTGGCCACTTGCTCCCGCCAGGGATGGGGAGTCCCCTGCCGGCGCCTCGTCTCCCCTCGGCGGTCCGGGGCCCACGTGCCATTCCCCCCGCGCCCGCCAGCCTCCCCTCCCGGCTGTCTGCTGAGCAGCCCCCGTCCTGCAAGGCTCGGCTCAGACCTGAGGCCCTCGCCTCGCCAGCGGACACCCCGCCCCTCAAATGCTCGCCAGAAGCCCCCTCCCGCCCTGGGTCGCATTCCTGATCCAGACGGCGGCATCTCTCTCGGGTGCCAGGTGCAGGGTAGACCCCTTGTCCCCCCCTCCCCTCTACACCTTCCCCAGTCCTCGCTGCCAGGGCAGCAGCCCCCTCCTCACTCTTCGCGCTCCTCCAGCCATCCTCCCTCTCGCCCACCTCAAGTCTCCCTGCGGAGCTGCCCCTTCCCCTCCTCATTATACACCTCTCCCTTCGTCTCTAGAGCCCCGTTCGCCTCTCCTGACCCACTCCGCGACACACACGCTCTCACCAATGCCCAGTTTGCAGGAAGAAAGCTCCTTTTTCCTCCACGACCCCGCTGCACCCCTGTCTTCGGGCGCCGCTGATGTCAAGGGCTCGGGGTTGGCGCCCCGGCTGGCCCCTGAGACGCAGCAAGGAGAGGAAGGACAGGGGCATCCCCAGGTGACTTACCGAAGCCTGCTGGAGAGAAGCGCCGAAGTTGAGCATGGTTGGCTGCCTGGCTGCCGGCGGCGAGCTGACTGGCTGCTACGCTGCTACGCTGCTTGGCCACAGACGGGCGCCCGGAGACACTCGACGTCGCTCCCGCCGCCGCCGCGCTCCGCGCCGTCTGCCCCCTCCCCATTCAGGTAGCCTCTCCGCCTGCCCCGCGCCGCGGGCGGGGGCGGGGGCGGAGCCTGAGGACGGCCAATCAGCGGCAAAGGTGTGTGAGGCGCCGGCCAATGGGCTCCCGGGGCCACGCGTGATCAGCGGCTGCCCGGCAGCGTGAAGCTTGTGTCAGTGGAGCGTGTACACAATCCCCGGCAGCGTGTTCCCTCGGCCCGGCCCGAGGGAACTCCCGCCGCCACCTGACTCAGTGACACCCTCTCATCCCTCGCCCACCCCCCCAACAGCGGTCCTCGGCCCCGGCCTAGGGGGCGGTGCCGCGGGCGGGGGCCTAACCCGGAGGCGCGGCAGCGGCGCGCCCAGGCACTGCGGAGGGCCGGCCCCACGTGGGAGGTGGGGAGGGATGCCCGCTCCGCCCCGTCCCCTCTGCTCGGGGCCCCATCTCGGCCCGCCACGGGGTGGGCGGGACGCCGGGCAGCCGGGCGGGGGAGGCAGCGGCTGCTAGCCAAGGGGCCCGAGCCAAGAGATTTGCATTTGGAAGCGCCGTCCTTAGGCGTCTGGCAAGAAAGCAGAGCCCGCTGACCGACTGAGCTGCATTTCTCGAGCATTTACTGGGTTTTGCCTCGCTGAGCCGTGGGGAGCACCGAAGCGGGGAGGGGTGAGGAGGGAGGGGAACCCGGCCGCAGAGCCGACACCTGCTCCTGCGCCCCCCGCCCACGCCCCCCGCCGCCGGCGCGGGCTCACCCTCCCCATCTGCGTCGCTGGCAGCAGTACCCGCCCCGTCCGCCCCGCCCATCCTTCCTCCAGGCAGCTGGGAGAATGGTGTGGGGACTGCAGGAAGCCCTGAGGACTGGACCAATGGGGTGATGAGGGGCTGTAGACCCGAGTTTTTATCCTTCTCCGGAGCCGACGCTCGGTTGGAGAATCGAGTTTTGAGCTCGTTGTAAAGTTTAAATTGCAGTCTACAAGCTGTTTCAAAGGTAGACCCCACCACCCCGGGCCAAGGCCTCCGGAAACGCCCTGCCGGGAAACGGCTTGTGGGGAGGGGTCTCCTAGGGTCACCCAGCGCAGGTCGGAGCACGCCTCGGGGCGGGGTTGCTGCGGGGAAGCCCGCCTAGTCAAAGACACACCCGCCCCTCCAAAGCGCCACCGGCCCTCCTCTCTCCGACTACCCCACCTCCGACCCCCAGGGCTCCGAGGCGGGCTAAGGCCTCCAGATGGGGAGCCCGTGACTTTGCTTTCGTTCCCAGTTTGCTCTCTTTTGGCCGTTTGGTCCCGTTCACAGCAGCTGTTGTTGGAGAGTTGGGCAGTGATAACCCGGCTTAAAGCAAACCAAAGATTTTATCTCCTTTGGACGGGCTGAACACGTGGCAAAAATCACGGCCCCTCCCTCAAGCTGTCTCACCTCTCCGTGTAACTGAAAGGCTAATTTAAGTGTCCTTCCTTTCCCAATAACCACAGAATGAGCATAGAAGGGAATTAATTATTTTAGAAACTGTTAAATCCATGAACATCTTCTAGTGGTTCCTTCTGGTATATCTAAGATCCAGGGTAGCCAACAACAGTAGTAAAAATACAGTTGACCAGGGCCAGGGATTGAATGGCCTCTTGTCACTGCCCCTCCTTAATCAGCTGGAGGGGGGCCAGCTCAGCAGCCCAGGCAGCTCTTCCTATCTCCCTTCCACTCCCTGCCTCCACTCTGTCTGCAGGGGTGTCCCTTCCTGTAGGCTTCCTTCCTCCAGGGCTGTCCCATCCTGTTGATCTGAGCTGGAGGGGTTGGAGCAGCTGGCCCAGGGCACCTGCTGCATTAGGGGAAGCTCCCCTCGGCGCCCAACCAGCAGGCCAGCCTTCCTTCCTGTCAGGGATCCGCCCCCTCCACAGGCCAGCCTTCCTTCCTGTCAGGGATCCGCCCCCTCAGGTGGCCACAGCCAGCCCTCCAGGTCTGAATCCAGTCCTTTCTTCAGGAATGTGGGGCCTGCTGGCGTGATGCCCTAGCACGCTGAGAAGCAGGGAGCATTCATGGCTTGTGGGAGTGATTCAAAACAGGAAAGAAAAGAGAAAAGGGGTAGGAGGAACAGTGTGGTGGTGGCACAATTCCTAGAGATTCAGAGAAAGATGTTCCCCAGGCACCTCAGACTCAACATTACCAAAACTAAAATCATTTCTGCTCCTTCCTGTATAGGTTCATCATCTCCCATCCAGCCTTCACCTTCTCCCCCAAAGTCCTAGATCCAGTTGGGCCCCAGATCGCAAAAGTTTTGCCTCAGAAACGTCTCTCTTTCCTCATTTTTCATTTCTCTCCTTTAATTGTTGCCATCAACTCTCCCTTGGATTGAATAATCTGTAGTCTCCCCATCCAACCTCCAACCCCATCCCAGTTGATTTCTAGTGCCCAAACTCTCCATACTGCCACAACAGTGGTGTTTTGAAAGTCATGATCCAATCAGGACACTCCCTACTTAAAAATGGTCCTTGGCTCCTGTTGTCTAGGAGATAAGAAGCCATTCCATTCAGAGGAGTATAGTCTGCCCCCAACTCCCCTCCCCATTCTTCCAACTCCTCTCCTATCCAGACATACCCTTGCCCAAAGCCAGAGCAAATGACTTGTTGTTCTTCAATGTGTACAATTCCACATCTCTAAGCCACAGTCCTCATTTAGCAAACATTGTGTTGCTCATTTACCCAATCTGTTCAACAAGTATTTGCTGAGCACCTACTATGTGTCCTAGGTACCAGAACAATAGCAAGGAACGAGTCCAGGTCCCTGCTCTCAGAAAGCTTGGATGGGAAGGCAAAGACAAGTCTCTCTGTCTCCATCTCTCTCTCTCTCTATATATATATACATATATATAATACTATCACTTACGATGGTGAAGCTAACTAATGCATAGAATTACGACGGGGTGATATGATAATATGATTGTGCCTATGATTGTGATTTGGTTTAGGAGATAAGAGAATCTTGCTTTTGGGGCGCCTGGGTAGCTCAGTTGGTTAAGCCACTGACTTTGGCTAAGATCATGATTTCATGGTTTGTGGGTTCGAGCCCCGCGTTGGGCTCTGTGCTGACAGCTCAGAGCCTGGAGCCTGCTTCAGATTCTGTGTCTCCCTCTTTCCCTGCTCACATTCTGTCTCCCCCTCCTTCAAAAATAAATAAACATTAAGAAAAATTAAAAAAGAATCTTGCTTTGAGGAAGAGACTCTTAAGCTGAAAACTAACGATAGGATAGGCAGATTCATGGAGAATGTGCCTGAGTAGAAGACACAGCTATGACAGTGTCCTACCAGGAAGGAGCTCACTTGGTGATACAGTGTGGCTGGAGGTGTAGAGGGTGCTGGGGAAAGTGGGGTGTGGGGGGACAGGGTTGGAGAGTGAGCAGTAGCAGTCAGACTAGGAGGAATTTACAGGCCACAGTGTGAAATACAGATTTTCCTCAAAGTGTAGCAGGAGCCATGGTGTCTTGGAAGAAATGTACATTTTTATCTTTGAAGGGCTCATTTGGCTTTCTTTGCTGTACAGCCACCTTGTTGAAGCCTTCTTTGGTAATTTCAAGATGAATCCACTGTTCTCTGTTCCCATAGCATTTTGTCCACACTCCATGCTGGGAGTGGAGCACATATCACATCTTATTGCAAGAAGTATCTTACAACACCTCCTTCAAGATGGCAGCCATGTCATAATCTTTCTGGTCCAGTGTCTGTTCTGTATCAGGCACTCAAGATTTAAAAAAAAAACAAAAAAACAAAAAAAACCTTTTTTAATGTTTATTTATTTTTGAGAGAGAGAGAGACAGAGTGTGAACGAGGGAGGGGCAGAGAGAGGGAGACACAGAATCTGAATCAGGCTCCAGTCTCCGAGCTGTCAGCACAGAGCCTGATACGGGGCTCAAACCCACCAACCGGGAGATCGTGACCTGGGCCGAAGTCAGCCGCTTAACCAGCCGAGACACCCGGGCGCCCCTAGGCACTCAAGGGGAGGAAATAGAATTGTAGGTTGTCTCTGAAGACCCAATGGAGTTACAGACAGAATGTGGACAAACACCGAGGACAGAAGTATAGATCCTTCTTTACCTCACCCTTGGCTTCCATCGGTGTAGGACCATGCATGGAAAACTGTCATCTTGGGTATGACTGAAAAAAAGTCCTGGGCGGTAGTAAGCGGTACCTCAGATAGATGCTGACCCTTCTTGCTGATGGTGCTTGTTTCCCCTTCCATCAGAATAATGAAGGAAGTGGCAGGGGGGCTGACATGTAAAGATCCCTCAGTTTAGTTACGGAATTAGAGCATATTGTAACCGACAGCCATCTTCTCATTGCTCCTTAAAGTCAGTGGGTATCCTCACCATTCATCTGTTGCCCTACCATATGCCAGGCACTAGCTGAACACTGGGGAATAACACTAAAACCAAGTCAAAGGGGCTTCCAGGACAGTGGGAGGAGTAAACAGGAGAGGCAGCCATTATTATAGAGTGTGGGTTATGCCAGGAGAGGGGTGTGCACAGTGTCCCAGGAGGGCCAAGGAAGAGGTCAGGGAAGGCTTCCCTCAGCTGATCCCTAAGCTAGAGGAGAGCAGGGGTGGAGGTAGAGAGTAGACAGACCGCTGGGGATTCAGGATGCTCTAAACCGTCTGGATCACAGATTTGAGAGGTAGGGTGGGGAGCTTAGGGTGTTAAGGGAAGTAGCCCCAAACATAAAGGGCCTTTGCACAACAGGGCTAAGGAATGTGGAAGTAGAACTTTTATCCTGAAGACAATAGGGATCTACTGAGAGATTTTAGCAAGGAATGATGGTATAGAAAGCCCATTTGGGCTCATTATGGAGAATGGGCCAGAGAAGTGGGGTCTAACACCAGTGAGAAGGCTTTTGCAGTAATGTAGGCAACA